CTTTCTGTTAAATCCTTTCACTTCGTCTTTGAAAGTCTGATCCAATACTGCGATCCTATTCCTCATTCGTTTGAAGTAGTTTTCCCTCCAAAAGAGATATAAATACCACTTCTTTGCGGTTTCCAATTCATTGATATCCACTTCCACACCATTCTTATCTTTACGAAGAATATCAGACACAATGTCTGTGAAGCAGATGAAAGACAATCGCTTTTTGCTTAAGTTTGTCAAATCAAACACATTATTCCCTTCAGACAACCACTCGAGGACTGGATTATTATGATTATTGTATCGGGAATTGAAGTACTCAATGAACTTCCTATTCATTGGTCTAATATCGGGTGCGATTTGTTCGTAATCAACAATATATAGGAAACTCAGTCTTATTTTGTCCAATAACTCCTCCATTTCCCCTTTAATACCGTTTATTCTGCCGTAATATCGGTTTAGTTTGGAGCGCGCATTCAACACAATAGGGTTGCCTTTAATGGGAAATGCATTGTCCAGTGATTCTAGTTCTGGATTCTTTCGTAGGGAACGGTATCTCTCCTTGATTTCTCTCAATTTATAATTATCAAGCGCTTCGCTATCGGATTTGCCACCAATTCGGACCACATTTTGGCTAAACTTGAGGATTCCTTCGAGGAATTGGTCCAAAGCGTGGTTTTTAAAGCAGACAATAAGAATGGGTCGCCGATCGGCACTTGGATTCCACACCTTTTCGTTGTCTAACAAACACTTGACAATCTTCAGGCCTACGAATGTCTTTCCAGTGCCGGGCGGGCCCTGTATTACAGCGAACTCTTTGGTCAACGCGTGATAATAGGCCTCAAACTGTTGGCCGTCGAAAATGGATGCCTTCTTCGCCACAGACTTGTGCTCAGCGTTTAACAGCTGTACAGATGATAATGGGTTCGGCTTATGGTCCGTGTGTTGATCCACTTGCGAGATGTCGGGTGCGATACACGACATGTCATAACAGGAGTCGGGGTTCAGATAAGGAGGAGCTCTGAGATTCCTAATGAGATGAACAATATATCTGTTGAACGGAAAGTGTGGACTCATTTTCTGAAGTCCTGACAACGAGTGAGTGATTCCCTCGAAGTAAGTCAAGGACTCGATTGCAATGTATTTAGTGTTTGGACTCAATATGAATGTGAAGAAGTCTTCGCACTCATTGTCATCCAAATCGACTTTAAGACAAAAATCCCAAATCGTTTGCTTCGACTTCGAGTCCTTGTAATTGAGTCGACTCTTGAAGACGACCCCAAATATGAGAGAACTCTCGAACCTATCGGACGACAGACACAGAAGCGATCCATCCATCAGTCGCTGGCAGTCCTGAAGACATCATTCAATGATAAGACAAACAAAACTTATTGAAAAGTAAGGATAAGTGAAGACTTACCGCCAAATCAACGTTTTCTAACGACTGGTAATCAAAGGTAAACCTCAGAAGAGGTCCGTGTCTTCTGTCCACACATTCCTCACTCCAATCGGACACGAGTTTCACTTTGAAGTAGACGTTGGACTGGATGTCGGTGTCGTTGTCGACCACTTCCTTCAGTGTCTTCAGATGCCTTCCCCTCTCGTCCTTAGGTATTGACGACAACTTCCGCCGCAATCGTTGGACATCATCGACGAGCGGACGGACCAACTCTTCGCGCAATAAATCAAATTGTGTTTTGAGATAATGGTTGGAGTCTTCGTAGGAGGTGTCGATCAGATTGGGTGACAATTCGGGACATACTTTACGTTGGATGTCATCCGCAGTCGTATGGATTGTAGTCCTGCGAAACGATTCATCTCTTCCGTGGTATCCATTCATCGCACTTGAGGTCAGACAATGAGATAATGAATGAGTTTTGTTGAAAATATCACAGTTTTGTGACTTGTTTTAAGTTTTAAAAACATATTTTTCATCATAAAAAGTGCAATCAATTCAAACATAAACATAGTTTACGTCTCAATAAATGTCTATATTTTAAGCCCCTTTTCGTTACGAAAGCATTGAAATGAATGCAAAATAAATGATTGATTAAAACGTTAATTATAGCGATTTAAGCGTAATTTTAATTATTTATTTACAGTTAGTTTTCGTAATTATCAGATACCTATAACGTAACTATAGTGTGAACTAGGTAACGTAACTAGGTAACTATAGTGTGATTCATCATAACGTTGTTATCATTACTAACGTAAACTCTATTTAAAATTTACCCAAAATTTGTTGGAAAAGTTTGTGTCCAAAATGGATGTCTTAATTGTAATTAAATTCATACAATAATTGTTATAACAGTAAATAGACTAATATTTTGAGACAATACAGTATGAGCACAGGTATGATAGGCACTACAGAATAATCAAATAGTATTATAATGACTGCTCAACTGTATTACGGAATTTGATATCATAGTCAACTCAAAGACAGGAAATACAGAATAAAAAGCAATTTATCAAGCAAGTTTAATATTTCATAAATACCACGTCTAATATTTATGATTAATAAATGGCACGTATAGTATAGTATAGTATAGTATAGTATAGTATATTCACTAAAGAGTCTTAAGTTAAGGCTACATATCGATAGGACTATCGTAAGGGTGGGGTATGTGTGGGCTCACCAAAGTGTGATCAATTGATTAGATAATTGAATCAATTGAGCTTGTTTAGTCTTCCTAAAAAATAATGTTTATTCAATTCTCTAGCTTTGTTTATAGATCACATTCATTTTGAATATTATGTGCTAGATTATTTATAAATTCAAAATGACCCTTGACATACACCTGATGCTGTGATCCTAGTTTAAAAGATTTATTTTTCAAAGCTTTAAGTTTTGCGTGAATAAAAATTAATGATTTATTTATTGTGTTCACAAAAACAGGTGTATATTTCGCATAAGGTTTGCACTCAAAATACTTGATTCATAAAAAAAATTTTAGCTAAAAATGCAATTGATTACGTATTTTACATCATGTAATTTTTTCTGTACTTATTCCTATGCCTTCAGATTCTTATGTATTATTATTATAAAAGTAATCAATTCTTATGTTATTCATATTGACGACAATATGATTTATTTAAATAACTTTTTTAGACTATAACGAATGCACTTATTTAAATGTATTGTCCCGTTGATTAATTCATTAGACCGCATTGCTTGTAAATATGTTTTGTACTCAGAAATACGTAATATAAATATAGATTTTTGTTGATATTTAAGTATATTTGAGAACAGAAATAATTAGTTTTTAATTTTCTTTAACTTATAAATAGAAATGCATTAATTGAAAATTGGTTTCAGATATTTTCCAAATGAATTTCATAGTAAAAACTAATTATCGAAACAATAGTGTTATTTATTAGACCAGAATATTCTTATAGAAAACGTAGAGTATATAAGAAATTGTTTTCTTTAATAATTACTTATTTATTAGTTGAGTATCAGCTCTATAAGTATTATCATAATTTTGTTGAGGAATACATATTTATAGTCAAATATATTAAATATTAATTGTATTTAATAGGAAAACATGTTTTACTAAATAATTTATAGGATTAAATACCACCGAAACTCAGACTCCACGCAAATCCAGTTAAATCCATATTCAATATCTGAGAAGTAGTTAAGAGATTATATCCAGAATATTGTGTAACCAATAATTTGAACCTGTGGGTTTTGAACTGTTTATAAACTCAAACAACTGTTAAAATTCTTAATTTTAAATTTTATTTTCTAACGATTCTGTGAAATATAATAATAAGTGAATCCATATTCAAACAGAATCTTTAATAATAAGTTACACTTTAGAGTAAGTAAAGGTATATTTTAAAGTTATATAAATTTTAAAGTATACAAAGTATTACAAAAGTATTAAAACTTTTATTTATATTGAAATCAACAGAAAATGAATGACTTAATGAAAGTATTGCTCGCATTTGTGGTGTTTATTGTGATCCAAGTCTCCAAACAAGAAGAAGACTCACAACTCATTCAAACGTATTCTCAATGCATTCGGTGTCAAGAGATGGACAGACAATGCGCGGCCATTATGACGGACAAGAGGTCAGACACGGGAACCTTAAGGATGTCCAACAGGTTCGGTAAGAGAGACGCCGAGACCCTGCGTATGTCCAACAGGTTTGGCAAACGAGACGCCGAGACTCTGCGGATGTCCAACAGATTCGGCAAACGAGACACTCCTGAGACCCTCAGAATGTCCAACAGATTCGGTAAGAGAGACACCGAAACACTCCGGATGTCCAACCGATTCGGCAAAAGAAATGGTGAGATATTTGACGAGAGTTTGGGTCAAAACAGGAATCCCATCGACTCATAGAGTATGAGGTTTTTGTCAATTCAACTAATTTTGATTTTATCACAAAATACTCAATAAAATAATATTAATTACTGATATATAATTGAATATGATTTGTATAATTGAAAATTTTCTATTAAATTGAAAGTTGAGTTCAAATAAGACATAATTAATAAAATTGTTTTATATAATGATTATGTAATAAATAAAAACCCATAAAAATCAAACTCAATGTAAAAATTTTAACAAAATATAAGAATGAAATGTAAATTTTAAATAATAATTATTATTATGTTTTATTATTATATTAGTAAATAAATCAAATAAAATATGAATTTATGCCAAAAATTTTATTTATGTTTGCTAAGAGTAAAGGATATTTGATAAGGTATCAGGTATATTTCAACAAACTTCCCCGAAAGATAAGCATTTATTTAAATATGTGACCATTAAATTGAAAATTCATTTTATCCATTAAACTCTTATGATTTATAAATCTTGTGAGCTATAAATTTATAGTAATTAATAAATCTCTGATAACAACAGCCTACCCAAAAATGTTTATGCTTTTATGCCCTTGATATGATATACTGTAGCATTCAAATGTACACAACTTTTAGTGATTAATCCAGGTATGAATTTATGCGGACATATAATAAACTGTTAATAATTTAAAATATAGAAATTTTGCACATACAGTATAATACGGGAGAAAAATTAAATTAATAATAACAAAAATATTACTTTACAAAATAAGTTTTTTAATTGATTATGGCATTTACGTAATTCTCAGGAACATCTCAGAAATACTTATGAATTTTATGATACTTTAATATAGACAACAGTCTCAGATTTGACGGAGGTGTTATAAATTATACTATTGTACCATTAAATCATAGTATGAGTCATTATTTTATTGACTACTTTATATTTAAAGCTAATAGAAATAATGCACATATTGATAGCTTATAACCAAATGTAAGTATTACAATTTCTGTAAGTATTCACTGCTTTGGTTCATTACTATCCAGCAAAAAAAATCCTTGAATTTCACAGAAATCTGTTTTTTGGCAAAAATAAAATTTTGAAAAAATCCCTACAATTATATCATATATAACATAAGAGTCAAAAGCATATATGATATAATAAAATAAAAAATATTTTATTAGGAATTCCAACAGCGAGACGACACATACAAATGCATACAAATTATATAATTTTTTCAAAAATGTTATTTAGATTACAAATTATATTGCATATGATATAACAGAAATACATTAAATATTGACCCAAAACACAAAAATTTCTGTTATTTTCACTATTGTGTAGATATTTAGTTCACAGACTAGTATAATAGAGACTATCGATAAAACAATAACATTTGCCTATAGTTTTTGATACAAAAAAGGCAATTGTTTTTGCCATATTATGCCCATTGTGTCGAGCCTTTAGTTTCCTTTTATTTATTATAGCATAAAATTTAAAATTTATTGAAAATATAATATTTGCTTTTATGGAGCCCTTTGAGACGGCAATTGTGTGGCAGATATGATAAACCCATATCTGATGCCATAAACTGTAAAGTGTTTCTAATTTTTGTGCGAAAATTGTTTGACTCTATTTTGACTCTATTTTCGAGATTTATTATAATAATTATCTTTTGAATAGCGAATGAAATATCAAAAGAAATAAAAACAAGATTTTTTATTTCACCCTTAAATATATCGTCAGAACTTATTTTTTATTGAACATAAAAACTTTTTTATTTAATTTTTCCATTTGCTCACCTGTTGGATATATAACTTTTTCAAACAAATAGAAATTAATATTCACAGATATTTTTAAATAAATTTTTTGATAGCTAAATAAAGTGAATAAACTTATATTTGTTTTGTTACTGAAGCAACAGTATTTAAGTTTTGATAATTAATAAACCCTTTGCCTTATATTATAAAGGGCTGAAGGGTACCAAAATTTAAATTATAATGACGCTATTAATAAATAATAGTTTTATAATAATCGTTTTGACAATAAATATTTACCACGTATTGGCTGCATATCAATACCCGGCTGTAAGGCGAGACACTTCAGATGCGGTCTCTCAGGACTTTTTTGGCACAATTGTAAGTAACATTAGTTTATTACTCTGGCTAATAATTTAAATTTATTCATTAATATTTTCTGTAATAAATTATTATTAATAATAAAATAAGTTTTTGTGCTTATACTTAAAATTAAATAAATCATAAAAAGTACATAAAATTGTGTGCAATATTAAAAATAGGTACAGGATCCTTATCGATGGCTAGAAGATCCTAATAGTGATGAGACCAAGAAATTTGTGACTGATCAAAACAGCTTAACTAAACCATATCTTGAGACTAATAAATACAGAACTGAAATAACCAAAAAGTAAACAAATATTAATAATTAATTGATTAAGAACATAATAATGTTAATTCAAACTAATTTTTAATTTTTAATTTATTTGTTAGTTTCAATGATCTCTATAATTATCCGAAATATGGAATTCCGTCGAAAAAAGGCTCAAAATATTACTATTCAATGAATAGTGGTCTCCAGAACCAGAATATCTTATATTCTGTGGATTCAATTCAGTCTACAGAAGACCCGAAATTGTTTTTAGACCCAAATTTGTTGAGCACTGATGGGACGACATCTCTTCAATTCACTTCATTCTCAAAAGACGGCAAATACTGCGCTTATGGTATAAGTAAAGGGGGGTCTGATTGGATCATAATTAAGGTTAAAAACACGGAGACGCTGGAAGATTTGCCTGATGAACTCAAAAAAGTCAAATTCTCGTCTACTTCATGGTCTCACGACAACTTGGGATTCTTTTATGCGGTATTTAGTCATACATTCAAAAGTCTTATATTCAAAAATCACATTAAATAGCAATACGATGAGTACGATGGCACTGGTGAGGGCACGGATCCTATTTCACCTAAAAACCAGAAACTTTATTACCACAAACTCAATACCGAACAAACCAATGATATAATGGTCACTAAATTTGATGATAAACCCGATTGGCTCATGTACTTCAATGGATTGCCTAAACTTAAACACTAATTATTAAACATTTGTATTATGTTTTCAATTTAGAGGGACACCAGTTGTGAGCGACGATGGAAAGTATGTGCATATCTTCCCACAGGAAGGGACGTCGACCAGCGCCTGGTATTTCTCGAAGTTGGAGACACCGGTGACCGCGGAGTTGACCTTCACGGCCGTCAAAGACAAACCCGACGGTGAATACTATTACGTGACCAGTGATGACAACCTGGTTTACTTACGAACCAATAAGAATGCACAAAGGTTCAGGATCGTTCGCGTAGATCTTAACAACCCTGCTGAGGTAACTCATGAGTAAAATTGATTTTTTTCTATCTTGAAAATAACGAGTCGATTGCATGTTTGCAGACTAATTGGGCGCAAATACTTCCGGAGCACGACATCAATGTGTTGAACGAAGCGGTGGCCGTTAATAATGACTATTTGGCGGTCATTTACATGCGAGATGTCGTCCATATCATCGAAATGCATAATCTAAAGGATGGCAAATATCTGTGGGATATCGACACTCCCATCGGCACCGTTAGCGGTGTGAGCGGTGATCGCGACGGAAAGGAATTGTTTTATAAAATGACTTCATTTCTCAATCCGGGAATTATATACAGATATGACTTCAACACTAACCCCAATACTATTAGTGTATGATTACTTGATGTTATTTTGTAGCTTATTTTAAGAAGTATTTACGATTTATTTTCATGCGAAATAGGTTTTTAAAACTTCAGTGGTTTCAGGTTTAGATACAAATGAATTCGAGACAAATCAGGTATTTTTCACGAGCAAAGATGGCAAAGTTAAGATTCCCATGTTTTTGGTTCATAGAAGGGTATGTTCTGCAAACAAATAATTATTATTTGCATTAAATGACATGACATAACATAAAGAATATCAAACTGGACGGCTCTAACCCCACTTTGTTATACGCTTACGGAGGTTTCAATATAAACATTGAGCCCGGATTTGATCCATTGGGCACTTTCTTCATTAAGTACTTGAATGGAGTCTATGCTGTGGCCAACATTAGAGGGGGCGGGTATGTTTGCACGCAATATTACCTAGTTAAATGTTTGGCTATTTAACTAAATGTACTAATAGGGAATATGGTGAGAGTTGGCATGAGGGGGGTATGTTACTCAACAAACAAAATGTTTTCGATGACTTCGCCTCTGCCGCCGAGTACTTGATTAATAAGAAGTACACCCAAAGGGACAGGTATTACAATGACAATCAACCGAATTGATAGGCGTTTATTAAAATTATGATTTGCAACACAGACTAACAATCAACGGCCGATCAAATGGTGGACTATTAGTAGGCGCTGTCAGTAATCAACGGCCGGATATCATTGGGTGCTCGTTGGCTAATGTCGGGTCAGTTTTGAAAATTACTTTTCATGAATAATACATTTGATGACAATTGCATAAAAAGTCGATTAAGATATACTCACATAAATCATTTTGAATTCTAAAACATTTTTCTATAGTAAAGAAATTTAACTTTAAAAATATAAAACCATTTGACAAAAAAATGCTTAATTGAAATACCCTTCCAGTGTGATGGATATGCTTCGGTTCCCACTGTTCACCATAGGGTGGGCGTGGATGGAAGAGTACGGCGACCCCCAGAATAATAAGGATCACTTTGAATACATCTATAAGTATGAGAGAAACACTACTCACCTGTGTTTATGACCTCTAACTTAGATTTTAAAATGACTTTATTTCAACGATAGATACTCTCCATTGCATGCAATACCGTCTACAGCCACACAATATCCCGCAATGCTTGTCTTGACCGGTATTTGCATTAATTATAACTATTATTAACTATTAATTATAACAATTATCATGATGGTCGTGTATTAATCAATAACAATTATGTTTCATTTGCATACAAAAGCTGATCACGACGATCGTGTAGTGCCGGCTCATTCATACAAGTTTGCCGCTGAACTTCAGTACCAATTGGGAGCTAAGTTACCGGACACACCACTCATGATAAGAGTGGACACCAACTCTGGTCACGGAGCAGGAAAACCAATTTCCAAATGGGTTCATAACTTTATTATACTCTTTACATACTCGTTATAATAGGTTCACTTTAATGATCATATATTTTGTGTTATTCCAGATCGAAGAATATACAGATATCGTGTCATTCATATTGAATTCATTGCAAATTGATTATAACATCCAAAGCAATGTTATTAAAAGAAATATTCTGGCTAAATATTTCGGTCGAAAAGTATAATTTACAGAAAATAATGTCAGATAATAATTCTTATCGCAATTCAAGCTATTATTTATTGTTTTGTGATTTATTTTAGTGCCTTTTTAAATGTTTATTATTTACTGTAGTAGATTATATGAAACCAAAAATAAATTATAGTAATTTAACATAATATTCAATAATAAAGTAATACATTTATATTTTTAAAAATAAAATTTCATATTTAATTTCGTATTGAAAAATTTCATATAAATTATGATTGTAATATATAAATTACAATAAATACAAATGTAAAAGCAATTACAGGTAAGAGTATGTGTAAAGTCACCACAAATTAACAATAAATTTAGGAATCTGCAAATAGGTCCTTGTTCACATTACCCTTGATACTTAGGAAAATTAGAAATCCTTGACAATGAATGCTACAATAGTGGGAATTTTCAACACAAATGTACATCTGAGTGCAATGAATGTGACTTGTACAATTGTATTACATAATCACTATTATATAACTCATCAAACAATAGCTCACAAACTATGCATCAAAACAGTGGATTGAATGCAATATTGACGGCAATTGGTGTGAAACCCAGTGCTAAGCAATGCATTCAAAGTGAGCGCATAAATGCCCATAACTTGCAGTCTTAAGGCTGACGTCAGCCCTTCACTACTGTTACGTAAAACTTGTTTTGAATTTTCGTCCAAAATCGCGATCAAAACCAACAATTTATAGCCTATTATCAGATGAGATACCCGCACCAAATGTATGGCTATATTTCACATCAATTACTACTATTGATGACTAAATTAATACCCATTTAAATGCATTAATAAGTGCTTAATAACTGACTATTATTATGCTTGTAATGTATTGAACAGTGTTTTACAGACAAGTGTTTACAACAAATCATTTTCTCCACACTTGTGTTCACTACATATCATTCAGTAGTCTATTATCGCGTTGTAATGAAATTAAAAGTTTTATTTTTATGCCATTAATATAAATATAATGTTTTAATTGATGCCTGCGTTCAGTACATACAGTGAGACGTGTGAAGCAATTAGCGATAAAAACATTACATTTCCTCAAATTATTTATGTATTTGTCATATGTTTTCACAAATACTGCACTCAATCACTGTATTTACCAATGAATTGATTATTTATTTAATATATTTTAATACCAATTATCTGTGAGATTATGATCGCATTTATAACCACCGATTGAACGCTTAATATATGAATGAAATTCACAAACAATGAGTGAATCGTCGCTAAGAAGCCATTCAAGACTATGGACGCAATCCGTGGTATCCCTGCTGTTAGTGGTCGTCATAATTATGATCGCCTTCGCGACCATCGTGTCCTCATTTCAACTAAACGGTGGTCAACCCCTCTATGACCCCAACAACCCTGACATCCAGATCCTCGCGGACACCAACTTCACTCAAGAGGTGTACGAGTCTGCCATGAACTCGGGACGCATACAACTGATCCAGTTTTACAACAGTTGGTGCGGACACTGCATATCATTCGCGCCCACATTCAAAGAGATGGCCAAACAGTTGCACCACTGGAGGCACGTGTTGGCCATCCGTGTGGTGGACTGCGCTCAAGACATGAACACCAAGTTATGCCGGCATATGGACATCAATGTCTACCCGACGCTCAAACTCTACTGGTTTAGCCCCAAACCCGATGATAAGGGCAATGAACTCCAGGGTATTTGCACTCATTAGCACTCATTGACACCATTGGAACCATTGGATTGGTTTGCATTTGTCTTTAATTATTGTATTCATGTCTTAACAGCCGATGAAAGGACATCGGAAGGCCTACAGAAAGGTGTCATCAAATGGATTACAGACAATTGGGTGAAAGGAGTGCCCCGTCAATGGCCAGACTTGATGCCCGTGTCTGCCCTCTCCAAAGACCTATTCATCAAATTACTTCCCATTGAAAAAGGCATTCCTGTGGTTGTGGTGGTCGAGGAGGAGAAGTCGTTTGTGGGCCAAGAGGTTTGACTTTTAGTTATTTGATCGCTAATTACAGAAGTATTAACACAATATTTGCAGATAATTCTCGACATGAGTGCATACCAGTCATCTGTCACTGTATTACGAATGCTGGACACCAGTGAAGCACTTCTGAATCAAATACTTCCCAAAACTATAAAGAGCTATAAATTACCGATTTTGCTGACCATTGATAACACGGACTATTCGTTTAAAATTTTCCAAACGTGAGACCAATTTCTCTAAATTAGTGAAGAAGTGGTTTATATATCTGTGAATTCATTTGAATGATAGGCCCGACGACTATCCTGTGAAGGAAATCCGCGAACAATACGTCAAACGAATCAAATCACAGTTTGTCTCCCATTCCCTCCTGAATAGCGAACAAAACGGACAATACGTGCAACAGATAGCGCCCAACAAACAGCCCGAGGACTCATCGGTGGCTAAAGTGATGAATAGCATCGAGGGTCCGAAGACTGGCCAACGGATCCATATGTCTGACCTGAATAACGCTCTGAGATATTCACTGTTCAAAGAAGTGGCGCTCAAAAGGAAACTCAATTCAACTCAAATCAATGCTCTCAAGAATTACTTATCAGTACTGGAGCTCCACTTCCCCTTTCAGACCAACAAAATGTTGACTTTTGTTAAATACCTCAACGAATGGCTCTCCAAGAAGAAGGCGGGCGTTGATGTGGACGTCGAGGACATGTTGACCACAATGAAGATATACGAAGAGTATTACCACTTCCCGGAGATGAAGCCGTGGAAGGGCTGCGCGGGTAGTGATGGCAAATACCGGGGCTACCCGTGCTCTATGTGGACACTGTTTCACACGCTGACTGTCAGCGAATACAAGAATACTCTGCGATCACAGAAGTGGTCGACACTTCATTCGGTGTTGTATTCAATGAGAGATTACATAAAGAACTTCTTCGGCTGTTCGTATTGCGCGCAACACTTCCAAGAGATGGCCAAAGAGTTGGAGTCAACCCTCACGTATCCCAACAGTTCTCTGCTATGGCTGTGGCGGTCACACAATAAAGTGAATAAACGACTCAAAGGCGACGCCAGCGAAGACCCCTTACACCCGAAACAGCAGTACCCGACCCGAGAGGACTGTCCCGAGTGTTACGACAGCGCCGGCGAGTTTGTCGAGAAGAATGCGCTGGAATTCCTGTTAAGACACTATTCTATGGAGAATATCATTAAAGACGACTCGGAGGACGAAGCAAAGAGTGGTAACTCTGATAACGCCGTTGAGCACAAGAGTCATAATAATGGCGTGACGTCTGGTAAGTCGTCGTCGGGAACCGATAACAGAAATACTTCATTAAAAGCCAAATGGAATTATAGTCTATTAAATAATATGGACTATAGTTTGATATTATTCTTATATTTTTCATCCGCGGCTATCATACTATTGATTTGCGTTTACCTTAAGATTATTAGGAGAAAGAGGGGACAAAAGTACGGTTCCCTCAAAGCGTCGTTGAATTTTGCTTAAGATTTTGTTTTCTAATTACTTGTCGACAGACTTACGGATTAATTATTTTATTAATTATTTAGTTATTTATTTATTTTTCCAATTATACATTATGAAGTCAATTAATAATTGAGATTATATTTAAATTTTAATTAATTTTTTAAACGTTTTAAATGAATTATAAAAACTGTTTTTAAGAATAAATAAATTAAACTGAATTTTACGATTTGTTTAGTTATTTAATTGTATTTTTGTTATTTTTATAGACAAATTAAACGAATTAAATGATAAAAACACTTGAATCCAGAATTTGGACAATGGATTTGAAACCTGTTATGAACCAGATATGCTGTTAGAATAGCTAGCTGAATGAATGTTGGATTTATTTTTTGAATAAATTATTTGCATAAATGTTTTCATGTCTGTTATAGTGATCTCATTTTCTAAGTTGTTTTATATCCAGTCCTAGACGCCAGTCTCAGAGTTTGAATTAATTGTTACAAATGAACAAAACTCTAGCATAACTATATTCATTAAAAATCAGTTGACAGTAATTTGTAAATAATAAGATTTCTGAGAATTAATCAAAGGATTTTAAATTTTTATTTTTTAAGGAAATAAATTAAATTAATTGATTAGGAAAATACAAATTAATTAATGACTGCCACTAGTCTGTGATTCAAATGTGTTGTACGAATTCTGGATGAGTGCCCGTCTCTCTCGCTGTTTAGTGATGTATGTTATGGTCTCTATTGTCAAGAATGCGATTATCACTAAAATAGTACTTCCGATGTTTAGATAAAGTAAAATATAAGGCGCTTCTGTGATATAACGGCCCACTATTATGGGGTCTATTATGGCTATCAGAGCTCCAGACACTGTGATAATACCACAGATCATGTCTGTCATCGGTATGAAGAGCTCCATATATGAGAAAACACAGGGAAATACTGTTGAAAAGCCAAACCCGAGGGTTATTGTCCCGATATATACCATAACTTCGGACGTATTGGAGAAGGCATAGAGTATACCATTCCCTAACGATATTAGTATGAGATCTAAGTATAGAAAATATTTTGGTTGGATTTTAATCGCCAGAAATATTCCCACTCCTCGTCCTATCTATAGAGTTGACAAATAGTTTCAATTCACTTGAGTACTGATTAAGTGATAGCACACTAATAATGGACATACAGTATAGGCGGTAGACATGGCTGAGGCGATGAGATCGGATGTCTGTTTGGAGAGCTCCAGTTCCGTATTGATGTTAAAAGTGGCCAAATATTCAAAGTTAATGTTTTCCATGCCTTCATAGAAGCAGAACATTACGGAACAGATGGAGACCAACGATATTAAGTAACCCTTTGAATACGGTTTGCCTCGAGTCCTGTCCGACAAATGTTTTGCTTCAAAGTTATTGTTCAATAGTTTGACACTTTCTCCGGCTGTCGACTCGTGTGAACGAAGGAGTGATGCCTTCGACGACTTTCGGGATCTCTCGACCGACGGACCGCTAATGATATACTCTATTCAATGGGCAGACAATGAAATGCATTTAATGGGAAAATACAACTAAAACTAATTATACTTTTCTCCATAGAAAATATAATCAGAATATTTTGCAAAAAGATTTTTTCAATACATTGCATTAGCAAAGCATAAAAAACAAATTTCGCAAATTTCTATATTAAGATTACGCCCATTAATACACATAATGGAAGTGTAATTTAGATAGCAAAATTAAAATCTAAATGATTTTATATAAACCATATAAAAAATCTTTTAAATATATACCTGAATCTGAAATTGGTTCATATTTTTTGATGAAATACATTATGATTATGATTAGGGCTGATATGAATAATAGTGCGCCAATAATACAATAAGGGATATAAATTTGCGATGTATTTGTCCCAGAAGTGGTATTAATTTCACTATTTAGGCAAATCATTAGTTTGTCTTTTTATGGCATTAATGAAAAATAAAAATCAATTATAAAATCTAATGAATACCTAATCATCAGTTGTGTGGACGATGTCATGTTATTAATGGGAAATTCTTGAACACTTGAGACTGTATTGACATGTTTGTGGATATTTTCGCCCAAGAATTTGTAGCTAATCAAAGGGGCCAACACTGTGCCCAAACCAAACGTGAAGTGCAAGGCCTGCATATACGGCCCGTTATCATTCTCCCACATCTCCAGTATCCAGGCATGACATGCCGTATCAAAACCTAATACAATATTAATTTCACAAATTTCAAAACCCATTAAGAATTGCATAAAAATTAATTAAAGTTTCAATGGGGACCCATCCCAGACCTCCCTCTCCTAAGCCAAAGAAAACGGCTAAAATCATGAATGTTGGAAACGACTGGAGCAAAGGTGTCAGTGCCGTAGAAATGGACATTAATAGTAAATAAAATGCGACCATTAATTGACGGTTGAGGTAGTTATGAATGAATCCACCTTTTCGTACAAATTGAGACACAAATGAGTACTTAATTTTATAGTAAAATTTTACATTAAATTAAAAATGAACCAAAAAATGCTCCGATTGTGTACCCCAATGCCATGAGTGAGTTACCATAAGCCATGTCCACCTGATCACTTTGCATCAACTCAACCAGGTCCGGCCACGTGGGACCCCATATATTGTACGCCAATCCCTATTTCCCTCAATTAAATAAAGCGCATTTAATAATTCACACAGGTTGTTTGTAAATGAGAAATATTTGTATGATGTTAAAAATGTGACAATAATTTGCAACTTACATAAGCGACATAACACACATACAGTGCTATACTTATCAGGATAAATTCCTTTTTTCTATTTAAGGAATTTCGTCCGTAATTATCCATTTGCTTATTATATTTAACTTTTATATGCTTATATAAAAGTTACCGTAATTAAATGCTGTTTATTATTATTTGTAATTTTTACACAAACTCACTGCATGTATGTATTTACAATATTTCCTTTATGAATACATAATTCTGTATTCAATATTTCAGTCAATGAATTGCATAATTTCAGCTGAACTAACACTGAATTGCACTGAGATATTACCAATTGGTATTTGGTATATAAAAACTTAAAACTTTAAGCAAAGGGTTGTCATTCAGCTATTTTTTCTCATCACTAGATTCTATACGGTTGAGGTAGTTATGAATGAATCCACCTTTTCGTACAAATTGAGACACAAATGAGTACTTAATTTTATAGTAAAATTTTACATTAAATTAAAAATGAACCAAAAAATGCTCCGATTGTGTACCCTATAATTTCAGCTGAACTAACACTGAATTGCACTGAGATATTACCAATTGGTATTTGGTATATAAAAACTTAAAACTTAAACCAAAGGGTTGTCATTCAGCTATTTTTTCTCATCACTAGATTCTATATAAAGAAATCTTTTAATTGCTTTATAACATATTGCGATAAGTGGTAATACAGAGTATTTATAATAATTTTCTTATATAAAGATTATTTGATAAAAACCATAGACATTGATATGAATGTAATGATGGCATTGACTATACAATTGAGAATCACGAGTGATATGTCATTCATTGTCGTAATTCTGTACCCTATGTGAG